GAATTCTTTAATAATAAAAAATTTTATTTAATAATTAATATTTTATAATTTAATACAATTCAAATTATAAAATATTCAAATTATAAAACATTAAACTCAATCCATTTAAAATCTAGAGAAATTTTGAAAAAGTGAATACCACTCCTAATTCCTATAAAATTTAAGAGACTTACCAAAATATATACGGGAGAAACTCCTTTCCTTCTTCACTTTATCCCCCTCCACCTATCTAAAGGATTTGAACCAAAATTTTGTAGGGTCAAATTTTATACTTGAATCCACTAGAAGATATTGATAAATTGTAAAAAAAACTCGTAACAAAGATTCTTCTTCGAAGTAATTCCAAGAATAATTTACTTTTTTCCTATAATAAAAAGATCATAGCAATCACCATGTTCTTAACAAATGTGGGTTTTGGAAAATACATAGCCATTCAGTCTCTCATGAAATCATAATGGAAGGAATGAGTCAAGATTTTCGAGCAAACAGTTCGCAGGTGACTACATCCTCCATGTGTGAAGCAGAACTCCCAGCACCGAGGACAGGAACAAGATTGAAGATTGGATGCTTCCCAACTTCAATGCTGCCGCCCATCTCCGCAAGCTCATTAAATGCATCTGTGAACATGAGTGACAATGTCTCCAACGGCATCTGAAGGCTTGTTGGGAAGTAGAGCCTCAAACTCTACAAATAAAATGAGAAGGGAAGATAGGTGAGTATTTATGATGGATACAAGAGGGTAAGAGAAGATAAGAATCAAAATCAACATCAAATGTGTTTTCTGCAACTGTAAAGTCAAGCCTAGACTACTGGTGTAGACTTGAAATTCTGATCCTTCCAGAACTAGATGCATGTCACTATCATAAAGCTCCTCAATGAATTTTAGAATCGATGTTAATTGGAAAAGGAGATTTTTCATTGAAACTTACCATTACATCCTTCCAGGAGAAACCATTTTCCATGCAGAGTCTATCAAGAAGATAAACGCAAAAACTAGATATTCTTTTCATTTGGCCCTCTGTTAGAGAATTTTGAGTGTCACCATTCAGAAATTCAGAACAAATCTTCTTGGAGACTGCACTTGTGATGCACAAAACAACAGCACAGATCTTTCCATGAACAACACACTTCTGAATGCAAGAATCATGCCAAGCTGCTGGCTGAAAACCCCTGAAACTACTTGCTGTCATGCCAGAAAGGTCAGGAACACTTCCTTCAGTCATTTCCATATCTTCTGGAACATAAAGAATGGGTTTGACTTCCACAAGTGCCCTGCAATATCAAAATAAATGGTGATAAGAGTGCATTGTGTGTGAATCTAATGTACAACTTATGCAAATAATTACTATAAAAAAAAATAACAAAAAAAAACAACTAATTACAATCTTCCAGAGAGAAAAATAATACAAATTTTTAAAGATAAAAGCTTCCTTAAGCATATTGATCTGATAAAGTTAAAGAACACAGAAAAGCTTAACTTGAGATTACAATGATAGAAGTACTAATCAAAGCGAAAATGATTCTTGATATATAACAAAAGGGAAAACTTGCTTTAGATGTCATTTGAGCTAAGGTTTTGTTGAAAATCCATTCAAATTTTCACCCCTATATCCTACCAGGTTTGAACCATTGAAGCATAGAATCCTAGTTTAAAGTTTACAGCCATAATATCAATCACCTACAACAAAACTAATTTCTTACTTATTAAAAGTTGAGGAAAAAAAACATTAAACAAGTAAAGCTGAGAAGTATTTTTTATTCTAGGTGCCTCACTACAGCCATAGAAAGCTTCAGCCAGGTTCTATATCTGATGCCTCAAAAACTCTTAGTTTATTACCTTCAAAAAGAGTTTGTAGAACAACTTTAATGCTGAGGCCTCTTTTCCAAGTGTTTGCTATAAGCACATAAAATATGCATGAATGAAAAAATCATGGATTCATGGAAAGAAAAAGTATGGCAATAATATTAATATGGTTAATGCACATATATTTCTTCATAGGCCTAAATATAACAGGAAATCCTAAACTTACAGCATCTAGAACACTAACCGTTTTGGCAGATCAGGAACAAGGACATAAAGAAAAACAGGATCAAGCATTACTGGCTTCCTCCCATTATCCATATTAGAGAGCCTTATTTTCTTCACAGAACTGTCCATCTTGTCACGGATTTTCAGTCTCTCGGCTAATGGAATTGATATTGAACAATAAACCACATATAGAAGAGCAGAAGTAGATATTGAGCAGTTAAAGCATTTTGCCACTGCTTCACTGTTTTCTAGTGCTTGCTCTAACTCTGCAGTAGGGCCTCCACCGCATAGATTCATTGCAGGAGGGTCAAGTCCCAACTGCCCAGCCATGTGGAGTACCTCCTTATGCAATGTTGCCTGAAAATAAAACTAATCAATATTCTCAAGGGATCCTTAATATTCAGTGGTTTGTAGGAACAAAAATTTAAAGCACCTGGCTGTATGGTCCAATGCAACTAGGTGCCCAGCAGGAAATGCTTTGTACATGCAAAACCCTTTTGCTTTGATCATTTGCCACCAATACTTCAATGTACGCTCTCCCTAAACCTGCTTGCGATAGAGGTAGTTCGATTGTACTACGGGATGGAACACCAAAAGGGCATTTGTCATGTGTAATGAATCTCACATATGTCTCATTTGCCGTGGTGAATTCATTCATATCAGATATATAAAGATGAATATAAAGCACATGCTCCCAACCAAAACCATATTCCACAAGTTGTGATTCAATTTTTCTAAGTACCAGCTCCAGATCTTCCTGTAAACCTATAGGGCAAGAAAAATCCAAAACAGACAACAATCAAAATGTTACATTAAAAAGAAAAGAGAGACTAAAGTATAAATGATTAAATGTGGAGTACATTTCATTGGCATCATTATTTGTTACCAGACAGCAGATATTATCATATTTTTTACCTGCTGATGATTGGGATGAATCTAACAACCAGAAACAAATAGAAAATGTATCATCTTTCTCCGTTTTTGGGATATGAACCCTATGGTTTGAAGTTTCAACTAAGTTAGTAGCTTCTTGAATAGAATTGCATATGGCTTTGCATTCTTGTTGGCTGTCTCCTTGGACTTCAAATACAAAATTGCTTTTCTCTGGACAAATACCCTTCATAGACTCACTTGAGGTATTGGACTCTGCCTTCTTCTCCAAATGAAATTTCAATGGATGAAGGACTCCAACTGGCGCTATGGAATCCGAAGAATGTAGCACAACTTGAAATTCATCAAGCACAATTCGAGCATTCTGAAAATTCTAAAAGTCAAATGACTGCCAAACATAAATGGAATCGCAAATAAACAAAGAATAAACTTTAAACAATAAGCACAACTGGACTGCAGTGCATTCATTTATTCATCTTATCATCTTATGATATATAGGTTTGTATACTCAAAAAGAAATAAAATAAGCTCTTGCAAGTAAAAAAGAAAAAGAGCTGGGGATTAGGCACTTTTCACTAAGAGACTAGTCAAGCCAAAAACTTACAACAAAGAGAGGGCAGTCAAGAGTCAATGTTTCATATTCCCCTCCTTCACCACATACATTTATTCCATACAAACTGTGAAAGGAAGACCAACAAATAATTTGCAGTCATTCTAGAAAAACTAACTTGTATGATGAGTGGAAAAGGACAGAGAGGAAAAGCACTGACATACTCTTTCAACTTATGCAGATATGGCTCCAAGAATGCTATCTCTTTGCCCAAGTGCTTTGCAGGATCCAGCCCCATGGCTGCAACCTATGACGTATAAAGTGTCAGCCATATTAATCTAAATAATATTAACCATTTACTATTCAAAAAATATATAAAAATATACTTATGGTTAGCAGTAAATGGTTCTAAAATTTCTAATCTAAAGAAATAGATCAAGCAGAGATTTATTTGGTAACAATAAAGAACAATTTGAATAAAGTGCTAAACACATGATGTGAGAAAATGTTACATTGACAACCTAAAGAACATATTTGTGCTTAAAAACTACAGTATGAGATAGTGGATCAAAAAGAAGAGGTATCATCTCATAAAAGCAATGACACGAGAAGTATGTCAAGTCAGAAACTGGGAAAATACTGCATATTTCTAATTACTAAATTAAACAAAATTTATAGATAGATACCTTTACTGTGATAGCTGCAATGCCATTCATAATCTGAATAGCACCAAAAAAAGAAGGAATGAGATGAAAAAATATCAATTGTGATATACTCTCATACATATTGATAAAACACAAATTACCATTTCATGAAGGAGCAATGACTGATCTTGTTTCCATAAATATGCCAGAGAAACAAGCCCTAACCTTGAACAGACACTTTCCACCCGTAGCCTTTGATAATCAGATGCAATTGCACCAGAAGATACTGCTGTGATGGAGGGCATCTGTTTCTTTACTTCATTTAACAAAATGTACATATCTTCAACTTCATCACCTGGAGTCATTTTGTAGCTAAGTTTTTGATGCCTAAAAAAGTGAGAATTTGCCATAAGAACACATGTACAATACAGTGGATATAAAACTCTGCTGCAAAACAACATTTTTTAAAAAAATTTATAGTTGGCTGAGGCTCAATCTCAGTATGATTGGTTCCTTGAAACCACAATATTCTCACTTAAAGGGCTTGCCTTGTAGATCCTTGTATTCGCCTTCGGAATAATGGCACTCCCATGCATTCTGCATAACTAACAATTATTTGGTGTCCAACCTATAGAAAGATTCAATATCCATATCAGACATTCATGCAAGGGTATAGGTTTTTTCACTCTTAAAAGTTTTTAAAACACTTAAAAAAGTAGATTTTATTCAAAAGAAATTAGTGCAAATATTCTGAATGAATACGAAATTAAAATCAAATTCAACACATAAATAAAACTTCTAAAGAGTTTCCAATATTATTAATCAAATCTCAGAAATGACAAATACCCAGTCATACACATAATGAACATACATTGCATCGAACATACATAAATGCACAAAAATAAGCTATGGCATATAACTTAGATTTCCAGCAGGAAAACCAACCAAAAGCATTTAGATTGCTCTGTGATTTGGCAAGACTTTTTAATACCACAACTATAGACAACTACAATATATAAGAACACTATATACATTACAAGCTTACAGTTTGATACATGTAGCTATCTAACTCATCCACAGCATCATCAGCAGGCAACAAGTTTGCAACCGCAACAACCTGTTCAAACAAAGAATCCAACATCAATTTTCAGGAAAAGTGAACAAAATTTTTCCTTTCAGGATTATTCTTGCATCTCAAAAAATGGATAATCTTGGAAACAGCACTATAAGCAAAAAATCATTTCTTATATAGATTGAATATTCAGATTCATTCAAGAAAAAGAAGAAGAAGAAAAAAAGATGAAATTTTCAAGAAAAAAAGAAGTCCAGAGCACCCACTGTTCCCCTTTGCTTATAAATTGCAATCAAAACCAAGATATCATCCCAAAAGAAGAAACGGAAAATGATAACACCCCAAATCATCCATTTTTTATATGGAACTTTAATGGGTCTAGTTGAGTGAAGTAGAGCTTTCTAGGAGAACAAAGAGGGAACCTGGTGGCCGTATTGGATGCATTTCATCATGGCATAACAGCTATCCTTGCCGCCGCTTACTAGTGCCACCACCTTCATGTTACCGTCACCAACTGTAGCAGAGGCTCCGCAGTTTAGGGTTTAACTTCGTCTTCTCTCCTTTCTTGTTTTGGCGGACTGGAAAATAACCGGATAATGTAATTACAGTTTGCCCCCACTATCTGCGAAATTATTAACATTCATATATATAAAAAAATACATTTCAATCTGAACACCTAAAAATAATTAAAGTTTTCATTTTAAATTATATTATATTATTTAATTAAAATTTAATTTAAAATTTTAAAAATTATTTTATCTGATTTTAATAAATAAAAAATTAAAAGTATCATATATAATATAAAAATTAAAATTTATAAATCTAATAAAATTAAAAATTAAAAATAAGTTTTTACCCTAATTTTTAAGTATGGTTTGATATCACGTTATTTTTACTTTTTTTATTTTATAGAAAGGGTACTTAACTTTTGAGTTACTAATATTTTTATATATTTTAATATTAATTCCTTTCAAAATGATTTAAAAAACACATTCTCCCCTCATTAGTATATTAAATTTTTGGAATTTTTAGAATCATAATATGAAATTAATGGTTAGTTTTTTCATTTAATTTGATATTTTTTT